TGAACCCTGCCAGCTGGGGGGAAATTGGGAAATCTGCTGCGTTTCAGCTTCCCCCAGCGCTGACTTTGCCCTAATTTTGGGTTGGGGTAGAGCTCGGATCATGTCAGGAGGGAGGGTGATGAGCCGTGGGGCTCAGGAGAAGAAGAAGGCAGGAAAGCAAAGCCACGTCCCTCCTTGCAGAACCTCTGAGAAACTCCTGCTCCACCTCAGACATCCAAGGGTGGGAGGATGTCCTGGACACCTCGAGGTGTGAGCTTCACTCAGAAGAGGATCTCGACGAGCTCGGTGGCTGAAAATTTGAGGGAGACGGGCACAGATCCGTGCAACCCTTGGATGCACAGCCTTGGGGAGATGGGCAGAGGAGGGAAAAGCCTTGTACCGGAGACCTTGGTGTCCATCCATCAGGGCAAGGGCAGGAGGAGGCCACTGGGTCCTCTGACCCACTGGACATCCATTTCCACACAGGCTACCGGCTAAAAATAGCAGACAAGGACCTTTGAATGGGAAAAAAAGTGAGTGGCCGAGGGGAGCTTTAAAGAAGCATTGACCCTGAGTGGAAACTCGGGTGAAAAATGACTTTGCTCCTGCTCAGAGTGTCTTTTTTTGTTTTTTTTTCCCTTCACTGCTGTTTCTTTCACTTACGCAACCAGATGCTTTGGCATGTGGCAGGCTCTCGCTTGCGTTCGGAGGTCAAAATCCCTAAAGTTTGTAAAACCGTGGCCCTTTTCGAAAGATCGGCCGTGTAGAGAAGAGTTTGTACGTGCGGAACCCGGCGAGTTCGGAGTCGGGCAGGGGGATGAACGTGGTGATCTTGCCCTCTCTGTCCGTTTACTCGTTCCTCTCCGCTCTACAGATGCCGTGACGTAATTTTCCAGAGTGATTGCGGCTCCTGTTAGGATTTAAAAATCAAACTGTAGGATCCTGCCCGGAGGAAAACCAAACGCAGGGGAGGAGCTGGCATCGAGGCAGCAGAGCTGCACGTGCCCGCTGCGACACCAAGGCTTTAACGTCATAAAACCGAGCCTGGGATGCGACGCCGCAGTTGCCTGACCCCCCTGCTATTTCGGATTAAACCCCTGAAATTCCTAAGCTCAGCTTAGGTGTAACGGTCGGGTTTGGTGAACGCTTCCTCCCTGTGTTTCTTCCATGCGCGCTTTGGGAGGTACGCAGGAGGAGACCTTTTATTTGTGCAAGATTCGATTAAAATCTTGGAAACGGGTTTCAGATGGCAGTGAAAACTGAAACCTGATAGGGAGGAGCTGAGCCTGGCGTTGCTTTTCTTCCCGTAATTCTGCTTGACTCTGACCTTTAGGCATCCCAAAGCGAAGGCGAAGGGCTTGGAGGACATCGCCGCCGCTCGATTCGCCTCCCTGGGAAGTAAAATTCCCTGCACTCAGCAAAATTACATCGAGCTAAAAGCCCAGCTTAACGAGGCAAACGATGTTTAAGTCAACTCAGCTTGTAAAAAACCAGCAGAGGCAGAATTTAGGTGGAAAACTCTTTGCTTCTTTCAGATCTCGCGGGTAAGGCTCGTCCACAAAGACGCACGCGGAGATTTACGAACGTGTCAAGTTTGACGCGCATGAGCTTTTCTCTAGATGTGGGATGCTGCTGGCTAAACCGAGGCTCCTGCGAGCGTTAGCAGGCTCGGGGTTTTTTGGCTGTTTTGTTTGCTGAAGAAACTTTGAACTAGTACCCTAACAGGAAAAAAAAGAAAAAAAAAAAAGTAGATGGTGTTTCAATCCTAAGTTCGCCGAGCGCGACGTATTTGGAAGGAGAACCCTCAAAAATGCCCATTTTGGTTTGTATCGGTGTTTAAATAGAAACTCTCGACTGGCACTTTGCTTTTAATTTTTCTTAAAATTTGAAAATAGACTCTTTGCTTCTCCGACGACCTCTCAGCGGGCATCGCTTTTAAGCCTTTCCCTGTTTTGGCGCGTTGTTTGCTCAACATTCACCTTCCTAAAGCGAAAAACCTTATCCCCCTGCTACTGAAAAATTGATTCGGGGCGGGGTACAAACCCAACCCCCTGAATCCTGGGGGAGAAAAACGGGGAGGGATGGGTGACAAGAGGTAAAAATGCAATTTTGCCCGTGCCTCACCTTGCCCTGCTGCTCTTTGTGGCTTGCCTAAGGAGGTCGTCTCCACCCAGGTTTTTGCGAGTGAAAAATGGGGTTAGAAAATGTTTGCTGAGCCTAACCCTGACTCATCTTCCCAGAGCAGCCGGGAGCAGTGAACTGCCGTTTAAACGGAGAGGAGCGGATTCCTGGGTGGTCCCTGTTGTAACCACAGAAAAAGCAAAGCATTAAAATGTAACGTGAGGACGAAGGGAAAGGGCCACCGAGCCCCTTTCTCCCGATGCGGCAGATGGAGAACAGAGATAGAGAGGGTGGCTGCTCCCTTCACCCAACCAGATCCAGTCCCTAATGAAGTTTTAATTCACCAAATCACCTTCGAATGTGTTGTTTGCTCTTGGACGTCGTGATTTTTCCGCCTTGATTTACGTGCTGGGATTAGAGGGAGGAATCGCGTCCCGAGAGGAATTTTCCTAGTCCTACCTGAGCGAAGAGTCATGCAAATCATTATTTGGGTGCTGCAAATAGAGCAAGGACGGGATTTCTACATTTCTTTGGGGGCAATTTGTGGAAAGACAAAGGTAAAAAAGCAAAGTGAAAAAAGCCGCTCGGTTCGGCTTGGCAGTGGAATTGCTTTTGGTGCATCCAAGACGATGATTTGGTCAGCCCTGATGGCAGAAAACAAAGAATTTTGACCCAGACATTCACAAAAACACCAAAAGGGCTTGCATGTGTGGCCGTTAACACCAAAAGAGCTCAAAAATATTGTCGTTTTTCCGCCCAGCATGGTTTGCATTGAACCATTTCCAATAGTCTACGGCGCAAAACTCGCCTCCGGTGGAAGATTGACACGAGAAACTGATAAAGTTCATCCCTTGGAGGTGGTGGCTGTACGAGGCTTTCCTCCCCCGTGAAAGATGTTTTTCAGGAATGCTTAAAATACATGAAAAAGAGCCAAACTTTTATTCAGACCGAGGAGGTTTTTGTTTCCTTTCAAGCGGTCACTTTTGTTTATGGAGCTCGCCGCCTCCTTCCAAATAAGTTAGAAAAAGGGGGGAAAAAGAAAGAAGAAAAGGAAAGGAAGAGCTTTGCTTCTTGTCAGGATTTACTCCAAGGCTGTTGGCTTGGCCCCGCGCTGTCCCAAGGGGTGGTTGAACATTGTGCAGTGACTCACCCCGAATCATGTCGCTCCCCGCGCTGGGGCCGCGCGTGATGTAACTCGGCGCTAATGTGGGATTTTCCAACTCTTTTTTGCTTTTCCCTCCCTCCTCAATTGGCTTTTTTGAAATTTTTTTTTTCTTCCTGCCGGTTCTTCGTCCTGCCTCAGCCTGCTGGCAGCTTCTTTTTTCCCCACATTGCCTGCGATTCTTGAAAATTCAACTTTTTCCTTTTATTTTTCTATTAGACCAGCATGCCCAGAGGTGGAGAGGTAAATCAGAGAGGCTTTTCTCCCTCCTTTCTTGTTCACCCTGCTGTGGGACTCTACCTTCGCCGGCATGTGGAGCTGCTCAGTGATCTCTCAGGCTCCAGATGCCACCTGGGATGATGAAATCTTTGATATCACCATCAAATTTCCAGTAGGATTTCGTGGTTGGCTTGTAGGGAGATCCACATCACCTAGCTCACCACATGTGCCTTTTTCATGCCCTTTAAGCTTATTTATAAGCACGAGTTTCTTTTCCTTGTATTTAAGAAGTCTACTCATGGACTTGCAGGCTTTAAGGTGTGAAAATTTCACAATGAAAAAAAGATTTCTCCATTTTCCTGGCCGGCACAACTCCCATCATCTCTCCCAGTCCCACGTCCTTATGGCTGTTCTCTCATTTCTTTCAGATATGGAATGTGCCGACGTGCCTTTATTAACTCCCAGCAGCAAAGAAATGATGTCTCAGGCGTTGAAAGCCACCTTCAGCGGCTTTGCCAAAGAGCAGCAGCGACTGGGAATCCCCAAAGGTAAGTAATCGTGTCCTCCTGCCAGGCTGCCCTTCCCTGTGTCTTGTTTTCCCGGGGAAATGGTTTGTGGTTGCTCGTTAATTGATCTTTTCTTCGCTCCCCCCTCCTTGGTGCAGATCCCCAGCAGTGGACGGAGACGCACGTGCGGGACTGGGTGATGTGGGCGGTGAACGAGTTTAGCCTGAAGGGAGTGGATTTCCAGAAGTTCTGCATGAACGGAGCCGCCCTCTGCGCCCTGGGCAAGGAGTGTTTCCTGGAGCTAGCGCCTGACTTTGTGGGAGATATCCTTTGGGAGCATCTGGAGATCTTGCAGAAAGGTGAGTCCTCCAGGGGTGAGTGGCTCCCTCTTGGGCTTGAGCTGTCATTTGAGCCTTTCCAAAAACGTTGGCTCTGCCATGAGGCTTGAATCCTCAACGAAAGCGGGTTTCAAAGCTCAACTTCCCAGCAGGATTTTGGACGGGCATCCCAGCCGGCGATGCAAATCCTGGCACCGCTTGAAAGAGGAAGGGTGTTAGCGCCGGCCGCTCGGCAGGAATCCCCCGCCGGGGCCGGGATGCTCTCGCCTGCCTGGAAAACGACGACGGGATTTTCCAAAGCGTTCTTCCTCGGCTCCCGTTGTGATTTTTACTGCTTTCCGCCGGGTACGACGATCCCACCCAAATCCCACCCTGATTTCCCAGTCGCTTCGCTTTGTTCCACGTCCCAAAAGGTGTAATTTTGCGAAGAGGGGCTGTGTCTCCCACAGGAGAAGCCACCCCCGCACGGCAGCTTTCGAGGACGTTCATTTTTATCAACACTAGTTCATTTTGAGTGTCTATTTTTTGTGTTGCCCAAGCAACACTTGACCTGGGATGGTCTCTAAAGAGCAAGTGAAGGGCTCAGCACCTTTAACAGGAGCAGCAGCAAATCTGGGCTCTTTCTCTAGGTCCTTTTTGTGCAGAGCTGTTTGCTTTCCTGGAATATCAGTCATACTGGCCCAGCGGTCCTGTACTGGTGGCAGGAAGGGGAGACCGAGCAAAGTTACGCCTTCCAGGAAACCATCGACCAGTGGATGTTAATTGCTGATTACTAATTTTACTGCTACCTGTGGTTTGCAGAGGGTAAACACGGCTCTTCCCAGGGCCTGTGGACGACGGGCTGTTTTCCTGCTCTTTGTATCTCTTCTCTTCTTCTTGTTTTGCGTAATTTCGGGTGCTGACATCAGCAGCTTAAGCAAGCAAAGCGAAACGTCGGGGTCAGCACAGTTTCTCCTTGCGCTGTCTTGGCCGAGGCGTCACAGCTCCTTCCTGCAGATTCCCTGAAGGCACGGAGAAGAACCTGGGGCTGTAGTTTCACAGCAAAGTGGGGATCATCCTTCCAGGCAGCGTCGAAACAGGCGGGTGTTACGATGCCGCAGGCCTGAGACAAAGAGGAGCTTTTACAAAGAAGCCTGCTGCAGCTTTTCCTCCAGAAGGATGAAAAAAAAGCTGAATTTCCATCTCTCAGCGCTGCTGGCGTAGCCCTGGGAACCAAGAAGCCTCCTGTTTTCTGCTCGTTTTTACTGATGGCTTGGTCACTTCTTGCATAAGCTGTCTGAACCGTAGCTTCGATGGGGAGTTCTTAATATATTTCCCAGAAGGGCAATATCCGTGAAGTATTTGGAGAGTAACTAAGAAGAGCTTCCAAGAAACAACCAGCCTCACCCCGAGGACTCGTTTCTGTTCCCTCTAAGTCATGGGACTCATTATTGCTGCTAGGACATCTCCAAAGCCCTGACACGGGGTCTGGATTCTGTTGTACCCGTGTTCTCCTGACAGAACCTGCAAAACCATCCCTCCCCATGCAAGAGGAGGTGCTTGTCTCCCATCTTCCTCCGGCCACCCACCCTCATCACTTGGGGGTGTTTCTGCTGGGAGTGGCAGTTAACCCCCAAAATGTTTGGCTTTTACCAAAATGGTTTGTTTTTTCCCTGCTGGGACAAGGCTGTGACCTCGCCGTCCCTTCGACTCCTTCGCGAGGGTGATTCACATCCCAGGGTTTAAAAACAACAGCAGATGGGTGACTTTTCTTCCTCCGGCCACCCACCCTCATCACTTGGGGGTGTTTCTGCTGGGAGTGGCAGTTAACCCCCAAAATGTTTGGCTTTTACCAAAATGGTTTGTTTTTTCCCTGCTGGGACAAGGCTGTGACCTCGCTGTCCCTTCGACTCCTTCGCGAGGGTGATTCACATCCCAGGGTTTAAAAACAACAGCAGATGGGTGACTTTTTTTTTTTTTTTTGCGAGGGGGGTCTATTTTCAAGCATATTTTGTCCAAATTTCTTCCTAAAATAACCTCTGCAGTTACCAGCAGTCAGCAGTGCCCTCCGCGAGCGTAGCTGAAGGTTGTTCTCTTTCTCTGTGGTCACCCACCCTGCCCCTTGGCAGGCACCGTGGGGAGAGGAAAAGAGCATTTCTCATTAGGTCTCTCTGCATAAACCCTCCTTTTGTTAGAGGATATTTTCCACCCTGCAATCCCCAGGAGAGAGGGCCAGAATTAGGCTCCTCGCGAGCGAACGTGTGTTATCTCCCTCTTCGCTTCTCTTCAGCCTCGGCAGAACTAAACATAACCCCAGAGTCCTTTTTATTTTGGTTACCCTCTGCGAACGAAACAAAGTCTCCCGTGCCAGCCCCTCTGCCCGCACGCCGGGCTGGAATGAATAAGGTGTTAATGGAAAAACTGGTCAGGGTAGGAGCAATGTGGCTTTTTATACGGGGTAACAAATTCGACGCCGAGCCCAGGAGTACCGAAGTGCTGGGAAAAAACCAATGGGAAGTGGAGAATCTCTGCTTTGATGCTCTTTCTCGGCGAATTCTGCCTATAGAAAGGCTAAATTTTTGTGTTTTGCCCATCCCCATGAGTTGCTGGGTGATGGGCAAAGCATTTTGGAGCCTGGGATCCTCTGCCTGTGCGAGGTGCGAGGTGAAAGGTGCAGCGTAGGCTGGGGATCAGCTTTAATTCGGGGTTTGGTATGTGTTACCCACACGCTTGCACACACCTACTGCTGGTCTAAAAATAGGGGCTTTTTCAGGAAAACGGCTGGCCCTATAGGTGGGGTTTTTCTTTTCACCAGCTCAAGCGTGTAAGTGCGGTAAGCGATCCTCAAGAGACCGAGAAGGGACACAAAAATAAGGCAAGCAAGGAAATTATGCAACTGGTGTTTCAGAACCACCTGGAGCCTCCGATTGAGAAAGTTGTTGTTCTCCTCTGGTTTGTTTTATCGGCATGTGGGCATGCCTCGCAGCCAGGATTCCCAAAGTGCATCAGGCACTTGTTTCGGTGGGATTTCAGCTCCTGACTCATTTCTGTTCCTTCGAACATCCCGGGGAGAAGCATTTTAGGAAGTTCAGACCCCTCTTGCGATGCACGATGTGTCTATGGACGTGTGACATTTCCTTCCTTTTCTCTTTGCAGAAGAGGTAAAACCTTACCCGGCAAACGGAGTGAACACGACGTACCCAGAGTCCCGCTATACTTCAGACTACTTCATTAGTAAGTCTCAATTAGCAGTATAATTCTGATGCTTCCAGGCATTTGAAATGTGGATTTTACAAACCAGCAAATGCCCCAACTCGCCTGATTTGGGATTCCAGGCTCTGGCCAGTGAGGAGACGTGACTGTGGAAGTGGCTTTTCTGTTACAGTCATCACTGAAACTTCTTTGCCCGATATCTCCTTTGCTGAGACTACATGATTTTCCAGCTTTTTTCCGCCACTAGCAGCTTGTTTGAGAGAGGAGTTTGGCGTAATGCACGCTGATGGCCTTTGAGGACGTCTTATTTTCTCTTTAAATTGCTGCAATTACCAGACGCCTTCTCTCTGTAGCTTTTAGAAACCTTTCTCAAAGCTACTACCGGGTGGTTGGTATGGAAAGGCAGCCTCTTCTTGCCCTGCAGACCCCAAATGTCTCTGTGTTGCCGTAGGAGATGGTGCAGAGGGGTGTGTGAACATCATCCTGATTTCTTTTTGTGCTTAAGTTGCTTTCTGACGCTCCCGTTCCGCCGCCAGGTTACGGCATCGAGCACGCGCAGTGCGTGCCTCCCTCCGAGTTCTCCGAGCCCAGCTTCATCACAGAGTCCTACCAGAGCCTCCATTTTTTCTCCTGTCCCTCAAGTACGAGAACGACTACCCCTCGGTGATCCTGCGCGACCCGGTGCCGCCGGATTCCCTGCAGACGGACTACTTCACCATCAAGCAAGAAGTCGTAACGCCCGACAACATGTGCATGGGCCGCACCAGCCGAGGTAAAGCCTGGTTGTTTGCCTGGGTTCTTGCTCTTTTATCAGTATAAGCTCTGCCTTCCTTCTGTGTAGGAGATTTGGGGGGACCAAGGCCGTCGGAGAGTGGCGCAATAGCAGTCACCAAGCCATTTCCCAACATATAGCTCTTATAGAGTTGAATTCCTCATGGCTTTGAGCCCTCCCTGCCTTTCTCTCCAGGGAAAACCCAAAGAAGGCTTTTCTTTTCTCTACTCTGCTGCCTGTTCTTACAACATGTGCTGAAAAGGGAGTATTTCCAGCTCTGTGCTTTCGATGTGAAGCTTGAGTGAAGTTAAAATAGGCTTTAAGGTTATTCGGGAGGACAGGCTGCTGCGTGGTTGTATAAAATCTTATTTTCCTATGAGACCAGGCGAAACCCCGCAAATTCTTCACGAGTTCGCATCAGGAGTTACTGGCCAAGGCTGCGAAGGGTTTTGCCCTTGTTGATCCCAAGTCTTTTTCCGTGATCTCCGTTGATTTGGATGGCTGCTTGCTTGAACTGATCATGTGTTCTGGTGAACCCCAGCCCTGTGCTCTCTTCGGAGATGCAGATGTCATGAGTTGAGGCAGCGACAGAGTTAAAGGACACCCTAAATTCCTCGTGCCACGACTCTCCAAAGAGTTAGAGGAACTTGATTCCTCTTGGAGATGGTGGGATTTAAATACCTGAACACTTCCAAGGATGTGAGCCCAAAAATCTTTTCAATTAATATTATTAAATTCTGAACATGTGAGGCCCAGGTGCCCGACTGCTTTGGGATTACCTTTCTTAACAAGGCTGAGGATCCGGCTCAGGGTTTATATTCAAAGCAGAAGGTTAATCCATGAAGCTCAAAGTCACTTGTAAACGGGTATCATTAGCTCCTGATTGCAGGTAGGGAACCCGAAGATCTGACCTAAGTAGAATCCAGGTGTCTCTGTGCCTAAAATCCATCAGGCATTAGAATTTTAGATGAGCTCCTCTCTCTGGGGTTGTTTTTCTGGCTATCTTTCATCAGTATCTTTCCCTTTTCTTGACCTTTTCTTGGTTTCAAAATAATACCCATTGAAATGCAATGATTTGGGTGTGCTTTTTCGATCCTACCATGGGTCCATTCTTGCTCGAAAGCCTGAAAAGAAAAGGCTCCAGGGGAGGGTGGAAAGAGCCCTTAGCTCAGCATCAGGGACCAAGTGCCCCTGGTGTTAGCAAACACTTTAATAAACTGATTGCAACCCAAGAAATGCTACATTTCAGCCCTAGAGAAGGGCCTTTGGGTGGCATTAATCCTCCCAGAGTGGTGTAAAGAAGCCTTAATATAAAGCAGAGCTCAGTTAATTTCTATTTTAGGTGTGTCTTTGCCTCCCGTGACATTAAAAAGTTAGGCTGTCATGACGTCGAGCATGAATTTCCCATGAAATTCAGGATAAAGGTTTTCCAGGCCTTTAGGAGTTAATGTTGAGAGTTGTTTCCCTTCACCTTATCAGCGAGAGATGGAAAACTCTTAATGCAGCTGCTAAACTCTTAAGGAGATCCTCTTGACTAGGCGTGATTCTCCCAAAGACTCGAGTTTAGGTCGAACTCAGGTGCATTTTCAACGCAATGACCCGTGTCACGTCCCCCACCTGCAGTTGTTCATCTGGCAGATCTTTAATTCCTTTTCTAAACGAGCTCGTGCTCGTGCGGGACTTCTCCGGGAAGCGGTTGTGCCCGTGGATGAACACGTTGATGAACAGCGTCGACATTCCCCGTGCGGGATTCAGGAAGTGGTGGAAACTCGCCCCAAACTAAAAGGGAAGAAGAAAAATCAATTTGAAGCGTGGATATTCCCAGCAGAATCAAGCCGGTGGGGTCAAACTTCAGATAATTCCGGGCCAAAGCCCGCGGTGGTTGAGTCTTTTCAGACTACAACGCAACAAATATTTTGCGGGGAGCGTGCCAGTGTCCGTCCACGTTCCCCGTTCCCTTGTGGTTTACTCTCTGCGCCCAAGCTGCGGATTGCTCTGCCAGTGGAAATTTCTCCAGGAGTTCTTGCACAATCCCGGCAGCTGTTTTTAGCCCGGTTTGGGAAATTAGTGAACTCGAATGATCCTGTTACGCTCTTTAGTTTGTCAGTAAAGACGTTGAGCAATCGGCAGCGTACGGGAGATCAGAGGGAGCGATTGCAGCTTGTTCTTCGGAGCCTTTTTTAGCTCTCTGTTCTAAGTACAGAGGGTGTACTTACGCTGTCTCTAGCGGGTGTAAATCAGCATACCACCGCTGAGGATCTGGCCTCTCATGTTCTGGTCTTTACTAAAAATACCCCAGAGAATAGCCTTGATCCAACCCAGCTGTGCTCACCTTACCAGAACTGGAAAAATAGCTGTTGGAGCTCTCAGCCTTTTGCTCTCTTCCTCCATCAAATCTGCTGCTGTTTGGGGATTTGGGGAGGGCGGGTGGTGGTGGAAGCTGCTTGTAACATATGGCAATAAAAGGCTGCTGTATAGTTCTGCAGGAAACAGCAAAAGTAAAGGAGCTGGGTGTCCAGTGCCCTGGAATAAGCCTGAGCAGTGTTTATACAGGGCCAGCAGGTATAATGTGGGGCTTATTGGAGACCCACATATCTTTCAGCAGCAAGAGTTGAGAAGTCCTGGCACCTGAGCTGAGCCTTGAATATCTGTCTGAAGTGGATTATTTCTCTGCTGTTGCCTTTTGGAAACAGAGGACAACTTCCACTTAGCCCCTGGCATCGATCTTAGGTAGAGAGACGGCGTTTTGAGCTTTTCTCCAGGGCTCTGAATTATGAAGATAATCGAATTATCCCAATTTCAGGCCACACTTTGGAGTTTGTTTGGCTGCAAGGCCTGGCAGGAAGGTGACATCTGCCCGGTTGCCTTCTGCCTGGGCAACCTAAAGCTTCCCCGTGCCGGCCAAGCCCATCTCACACACCTTTCCTCCTTGCCAGGTAAACTGGGTGGCCAGGACTCCTTCGAGAGCATAGAGAGCTATGACAGCTGCGACCGCCTGACGCAGTCCTGGAGCAGCCAGTCGTCCTTCCAGAGCCTGCAGCGCGTCCCCTCCTACGACAGCTTCGACTCGGAGGACTACCCCGCCGCCCTGCCCAACCACAAGCCCAAGGGCACCTTCAAGGACTATGTTCGGGATCGGGCCGACATGAACAAGGACAAGCCCGTCATCCCTGCTGCTGCCCTCGCCGGCTACACAGGTAAGGCCACGCTCCCCAGGAAACCTCCTCTCCGCTAGAACCTCGGCGGCTGAGCCACCAGGGTCTCTGGGACACCCAACGGCTGCGTTGCTGGTTCCAGAGGGGGTTTGGGATCAGCCTCCTGCGTGGGGCTGCTAGGAACTGGCTTGTAGCGCTGAGGGCACGAGGTAGGGGAGAGCCCTCCTTTCCCCCTCTCACGCCGGCCACTCAGTTGTGGTTTCCCACAGGGGCGTGTGATGGGAAATGATCTCCTCCCCTTTCGGGAGGGTTCCACGGGGCTGCGACGGTGCCAAAGCAAGTCCCAAAGGTTTTCCATTCCCCTGCGCTTGGGGGAGATTGAGAAGGTGAGAGGCCACGGAAACTCTGGCTTTTTGTGTGACAGCCCTCCGGCCATCTGGCATCTCCATGGAGAGAAACCTGACGGGCCAAGGTTTCCAGCTAAAATCGAGCTCATCCTTCCCAGTCCTTCCGTGCCGTGTCTTTCCCCTGGGCTCCAGTAAGTCAAATCTGCAGGGCAGCCTCCTGCCAGTTCCCCTTTCCCTCGGAGGCGCTGATCTCTCCTGTCCCAGCTGGTAGCAGCTGTGGCCCCGAGGAGCCAAGCAGTGGAAAAATAGTTTGTGCAGATAAAGATCGTCGAAAGGCTCAGAGCAGATCCTGAGGTGCGACTGTCCCTGAAATCTCCTCCCACGCACAGCCCGTATCTAGTTTTGTTTTTTTTTTTTTGCAAGAGGGGCAGAGATGCGGAGGGGAGGAGAGGTGGAGAGATAATTTTAGGAGCTCCGCGTCGAGAAGGAAGTGGTTTGTTGCCATAGCTTTAGTTAGAAAGAAAGCTCAGCCCTGCCTGAGCTGAATGAGCCCGTTTCGAGCCAGGCTAAATGCAAAACAAAAGTGTGCTCGGCTGTTCCTGAATGGGTTTCGAGATGTGGTGGGGAGAGGCATGAGCGGTGTGAGGGGCTGTGCCTCAGGCCGCCGTCCTCCACGGAAATCAATGTTCCTGAGGAAAGAGACCAGTGAGCACAACTTTTACCAGTGGGAATAATTTTTAGATGGATGATTTTCGCAGGCATGTGGCCCCAGAGATGTCCCCTGTCCCTTTTTAAAGCCTGCTGACCTGTCGGCACCTCCCTTCAGAGCAAAGGGAGCCTGGCGTGGGTGCGAAGTGGAGCTACGTTACTGTGAAAACAGGTCACAGGCAGAGCAAGTGAGAACATGTCGCCTTACAAACTGTAGGAGAGCCTGGCGCTCTCAAAACTGGTCCGTAGTAATGTATTTCTGCAAAAGAAAACCAGAGAAAAGCCACTGAGAAGTGCTGGACCTCCTTCGTGAGCAAGGAGTGCATGGACTCTCAGGCAGAACTCCTAGGTTCTTCTTTTTTTTTTTATTTTTCTATTTTTCTTGCTTTGCTTTACATTACTTTTACTTTACTCGGGGGAGGAAGTGTTGTCTCGCAGCTAGAGCAGAGGAACTTCAAGTCTGCGCTCTGTTTGCAGCTCTGCTGAGGAGGTGGAGCCTCCAAACGAGCAGAGCGGGGGATTACCAGCCCCAAAACCAGCCAAAACCTCTTTTTCTTTTCCCCCTTTTCTCCCTCAGACGATGCCTTGAGCACGTCTTCAACCCCAGCGACCAACCAGAGGAGCACCCAGAAGACAGGTCGCCGCGTTGACCTTGTAGGGCTGGGAGGGTGATGGTGGTGGAGGTGATCTCCAAGGCTCTCCTTGGGTTGACTTGAAGAACTCGACAGCCTCGCTCAGGTTTTTGTTGCCGAGGGCCTGTTTTGCCCGTGGCCCAGGGAGGTGGCCGGGTGCTTTATCGCGGCCACGGCACATTTGTGATGGTATCTGCCCCGGGAGGCGCAGGCTTGGGTGAGAAGGTGCATTTTGGCGGAAGCTCCCTCCGCGTTTGATGGGTTCTTCACCCAGCTCAGCGAGCAGCTTTTCAAAGCGGCGTTATCTGACCCCACATCTTGACCTAATTTAACAAGTTGCCATGGTTGCTCAGATAGAGGTTGATGCAATTTTCTTATCTTTTTTTTTTTTTTTTTTTTTTTACGGAGAAATGTAACTGCTCAGGAGTTGGCGAACTTCAGTTTCCACAGCTGCAGGGAGGGCGAGCCCTGGATGCTTCTCATTTCAGGGCCAGCTCTCTCGAACCTTGGCCGGTCTTTCCATTAAGATTTTATTCCCCTTTTATTTATTTCCATTAAGCCAGATTTTATTCTTTCTGACATGACCTAGGTAACGGACACAGCTATTAAATTTAGGCAAGCAGTGTGTCAGGAGCCTCTGATGGGCAACGTGGCCACCAGTACCCTTCATGAGACCTGACGCTGGGCTGTGGGTCCAACCGCATCGATTCCTTGCCCTTTCTGCCCTATATTCATGTTTCCCCTCCGCTGACCTACTTGTGCTGCTGCCCTCCTGGTGATGTGGGTCCAGCGGAGGTTCGGACCCTCCCTCTGACCCTGCGGTCGGCGATTGCTGAATTGTTTTCGCTTTTTTGCGTGCGTTTGGAGCCAGGACGTGGTGTTTCTTGGCTTTGTGGTACGTTAGGATCTCGGCCTCGGGGCTTTCCGTCTCTCGGGGTGGCGGTTGCATTGCAGAGCTGCTGAGCAGGCAGGGTGGAGCGATTCCCCTCGTGTTTTGAGAGGCGGAGAGAGGACGTAGGGGTAAGAAAAGTGACACCAAACCTCGAGCCTTCACCTGCAAGGCTGGTTTGGCATTATTCGTGATGCTGCCCTTCCTTTTGGACCTGGTTAGAGCCTTGCTGGTGCCTTTATAGACAACCTCAGTGCCTAAGGAGTTAATGCCCCCCTCCCGGCTGATCTCACACATGACCTGAGTGTCTCTCTTATCAACCGGGTTGATGCTATCTTCTTCTTTATCACCCTGCCCTTAAAAAAGATAGAAAGTAAGGAGGGAGCAGCCACCCCTCACAAGGAACAGCCACCTCTCGAGGATGCTCTCTCACCGGAGCGCTTCTGTCCACCAAACTCCTTTGGCCAGGCCACAGCCACCCCTGCTTCTTGCAGTACCGTGTCTCTAGGGCCCAGGTTTGCCCGCTAAACCCCTCCTGCCCCTCGTTGGAGTCGTGCAGCGCCTGAAGCCTCTGACAAGCCTCCGTTGCTGGGCGATGCTTATCTGCGACGCAGAAGTGAAAGCGCCACAGCTGCTGTTTTGCAAGAAGAGTCAAGTCGGCGCCAAAGAAACTGGGGCTCTTTCAAGAGAGCTCGTGCACTGCTCCCCCTCTTCTGGGTGCCCATCCTGGGGGTCTCAACCTTCCACCACGGGAAGCCAAAAGTCCACCAGCACCTGCTTTCCTGACCCCTCTCTCCCACCACAGGTTGGCAGTCTGGCTGTCCTTGACCTCTGGAGCCTGGGCAAGAGCTTGCCTAGAAGCCCCGGCATCCCTCCTGCCTGCTTGCCTTGCGTGTGGGCATCCGTAGCCCCTCGTGCCTTGGGCTGGGGGAGTTTGGAGATGCAGTCAGCTGCCCCTGCAGCCCAGCAATCCCTCTGCCCCCTCTCCGGGTGAGGCAGGGCTTGTTGTTAGCTCGCTCCTTCAGGGTCATCCCCTTGCGGGGAGACTTCAAGTGTCGCCATCTGAGGGATCCTACCCTCTCTTTCTGCCTCAGCAGCCTCTGCAGGGTTAAGGGGGCTGGAGGGTGGAGCTCGGGGCTGTTTCGGTGGCTCCCGCTCCAGCTGCCAGACGTGTGCAAATGACAGTGACGTGAGCCCCGCGCGAGGCTGCCCAACCTTGACGGAAGCAGCGGCCTCC